TTTCTTGTTCCCTTTTCTTTCATATATTTTTTGTCACTCTGATATCCAAAATACTCCTTCCTTTCTCTCTCTCTCTCTCTCTCTCTCTCTTTCTCTCTCTCTCTTCTTCGTCTTCTTCTTCTTCATCAAATCATTTTTTCCTTTTCCTTTTATCATTTATATCTCTTCCTTTTCTTTACACTTCCTTCCCATCCATCCCCCCCCCCACCCAACAACCTCAACATCCCCAACCCCCCTTTTCTACCCCCCTACTAACCCCCACTCCCCTTCCTTACTCTCACCCCCCCTCCTTACTCTTACCCCCCCCCTCCCTCTATCTCTCACTCCCTCCCTCCTTACTCTCACCCTCTCCCTCCATCTCTCACCCCCTCCCTCCCTCCTTACTCTCACCCCCTCCCTCCTTCCTTACTCTCACCCCCTCCCTCCCTCTCTCACCCACCCTCTCTCCCTACTCTCACCCCCCTCTATCCTTTCCCTCACCTCCCCCTCCCTCCATCTTTCATCCCCCCTCCATCTCTCACCCCCTCCCTCTCTACTCTTACCCCCTTCCCTCCCTCCCTCACCCCCCCTCCCTCCATCTTTCATCCCCCCTACATCTCTCCCCCCCCCTCCCTCCCCTCCCCCCCCTCCTTACTCTCACCCCTCTCTATCCCTTCCCTCACCCCCTCCCTCCATTTTTCATCCCCCCCTCCATCTCTCCCCTCCCTCCCTCCCTCCCTACTCTCACCCCCCTCTTTCCCCTTCCCCCCCTCTATCCCTTCCCTCACCCCTCCCTCCTTTCTCTCATCCCCTCCCTCCTTACTCTCACCCCCTCCCTCCACCTCTCACCCCCTCCCTCCATCTCTCACCCCCTCCCTCCATCTCTCATCCCTCCCTCCCTACTCTCACCCTCCCCCCCTTCCCTCACCCCTCATCACGCTGAAATCTGTTCCCATGAGACAAAACTTTGCACACATCTCCACTATGTTGTCACGTCTAGTAATTATGTTGGGCATGTGGAGCTCATAGGAGGAGAGAGGGGGGGAGAGGAGGGAGAGGGGAGGGAGAGGGAGGGAGGGAGGGAGGAAGGGAGGGAGGGAGAGGGAGGGAGGGAGGGAGGGCAGGGAAGGAGATAGGTAGGAAGAGGGAGAGAAGAAGGAAGAGGGGAGGATGACAGAAAGAAGAGAGAGGGGGTCAATGAGCAAGTGAGAGAGAAAGAGAGAGACAGACAGACAGACAGACAGACAAACGTGATATACTTGTTGTATATCATGGCTACATGTATAAGCTAAGCACTCTATTAAGATATCATTAAAAAAAAATACTAACAAAAATTAATCCATATTTACAAATAGAAAAAAAAAAACAGAGAATGGAGGTAATGGAATGCAAACACAAATTTGTAAAAAAAAATATATATATCATGTGTATGTGTGTGTGTGTTTGTGTGTGGGGGTGTGTGGGTGTTAATCAATACTTCTATTTTCTTACTCTCTCTTTTTTTTTCCTTTTCCCTTTCCCTTGTCCTTTCCTCTTCTCTCTCTCTCTCTCTCTCTCTCTCTCTCTCTCTCTCTCTCTCTCTCTCTCTCTCTCTCTTTCTCCTTCTCTTTCTCCTCCTTCTCTTTCTCCTTCGCCTTCTTCTCCTTCTCCCTCTCTCTCTATTATTATTATTATTATTAGAAGCAAATTCTTGATTGTAAGATTCTTTCGCATACCTTTATATCCCCACATTCTTCCCTCCTCCTCTCCATCCCACATTCCTTCCTCTCTCTCTATCCCTCCCTCCCTCACTTCCACCTCCCTACCTCCCACTTCCCTCTTCCTCCCTCAACTCCATTCTTTCTCCTCCCTCCCTCCTTCCCACCCTCACTCCTTACCTCTCCCCCTCACCTACCCTTCCTCCTTCCCTTCTCCCTCTCCCTCCCTCACCCCCATTTCTTCACCATCTCCCTACCTCCCTTCTCCCCTTCCCTACCCCGTCCCCCACGTATCATCTCCCTTTCCCTCCCTTCCCACCCCCTCCCTCCACTCCTCTACCCCGTCCCCCACTCCCTTCCCTCCCCCATTCCTCCCCCACCTCCCTTTCCCCACTCCCCCACCTCCATTCCTTCTCCCCCACCTCCTCTCCCCTCCCCCACCTCCCTTCCCCTCCTTCCACCTCCCTTCCCTCCCATCTCCTCCCCTCCCCCTCCCTTCCCCTTCCCCATCCCTTCCCCCCCATCTCATCCCGGTCTCACGATAGACTCAAATGGGGTTTACGAGAGAGCGAAAAATGCCCATTTGCCCGCGCGGAGTTTCGAGTTTATGATAGACAAACAGACATTATTCAGAAGGAGTGAGCTGTTGTTACGAGCGAGAAGGTACTTTGACCTCGGTGTTTATGAAAAATGGGGGGGAGGGGGGGGAGGGGGGAAAGGTCAACAGAGGCCGATATGATTTCTTGGAGGAATACAAAGTTTATTCGTGTTCTTTCTGTATGGATGGATGGATGGATGTGTATGTATGTATGTATGTACGTGTGAATGGATGAATGGATGTGTATGTATGTGTGTAAGGATGGATGGATGTGTATGTATGTGTGTATAAATGCATGTATGTATGTATGTGTGTATGTATGTATGTACATTTGATTAGATGTTTCTCTCTCCTCTTTTTCTCTTTCTTTCTCACTTTCTTCTTTCGCTTTTTTTTTGTTTTGTTTTTGTTTTGTTCGTTTTCTTTCTCGTTCCTTCTTCCTTTCAGACGGATGTATAAAAAGACAGGCAAACCGACAGGCAAACGAATCTACAAAGACCGACAAACGAAGATAAAAAACACACAAAGATAAAAAAAGATAAAAACACACACAGCTAAGATAAAGGCTGAAGGGGGAGGAGAAGTGAGAGAGGAGAGAGAGAGAGAGAGAGAGAGAGAGAGAGAGAGAGAGAGAGAGAGAGAGAGATTAAGAGAGAGAGAGAGAGAGAAACCTCTTCCCTTCTCAAAAAGAAAAAGAAAAAGTGGGGAAACCTCTCTAAATGAAATAACACTCGACACTTTTTAAAACTTTGCGATATGAATCAGCGTCGAGAGGGAAAGTAATAGACAAGTGTGACAGCTGACTTGCAGGGGAGGACTCTGGAGGAGGAGGTGGAGGAGGAGGTGGAGGAAGGGAAGGAGGAAGGTGGAGGAGGAGGTGGAGGAAAGGAAGGAGGACGGTGGAGGAGGAGGTGGAGGAACGGAAGGAGGACGGTGGAGGAGGAGGAGGAGGAAGGGAAGGAGGACAGTGGAGGAGGAGGTGGAGGAAGGGAAGGAGGAGGATGTGGAGGAAGGGAAGGAGGACTGTGGAGGAGGAGGAGGTGGAGGAACGGAAGGAGGAGGTGGAGGAAGGGAAGGAGGACGGTGGAGGAGGTGGAGGAACGGAAGGAGGACGGTGGAGGAGGAGGAAGAGGAAGGGAAGGAGGACAGTGGAGGAGGAGGTGGAGGAAGGGAAGGAGGAGGAGGTGGAGGAAGGGAAGGAGGACTGTGGAGGAGGAGGTGGAGGAAGGGAAGGAGGAGGTGGAGGAAGGGAAGGAGGAGGTGGAGGAAGGGAAGGAGGACGGTGGAGGAGGAGGTGGAGGAAGGGAAGGAGGAGGTGGAGGAAGGGAAGGAGGAGGTGGAGGAAGGGAAGGAGGACAGTGGAGGAAGGAGGACGGTGGAGGAGGAGCAGGAGGAAGGGAAGGAGGACAGTGGAGGAGGAGGTGGAAGGGAAGGAGGAGGTGGAGGAAGGGAAGGAGGAGGTGGAGGAAGGGAAGGAGGACGGTAGAGGAGGAGGTGGAGGAAGGGAAGGAAGACGGTGGAGGAGGAGGTGAAGGAGGAGGTGAAGGAGGAGGACGGTGGAGGAGGAGGTGGAGGAAGGGAAGGAGGACTGTGGAGGAGGAGGTGGAGGAAGGGAAGGAGGACGGTAGAGGAGGAGGTGAAGGAGGAGGACGGTGGAGGAAGGGAAGGAGGACGGTGGAGGAGGAGCTGGAGGAGGAGGACGGTGGAGGAAGGGAAGGAGGACGGTGGAGGAGGAGGAAGGGAAGGAGGTGGAGGTGAAGGACGAGGAGGGTGGAGGGAGGAGGAGGGTGGAGGGAGGAAGACGAGGTGGAGGGTAGATGGAGGGAGAAAGGAGGAGAGAGAAGGGGGTGAGGGAAGGAGAAGGAAGGAGGAGGAAGGGGGAGAGGAGGAGAAGAGCAGAAAGGGGTAGGAGGAGGAAGAGGAGAAGCAAGAGTGTGGGAGAGAGGAGATGGTGAAGGAGGAGAAGGAGGAGGACGAAGAGGACGAAGAGAACGTGCGAAAAAAAAAATTAATTCTAAAAATATTTGGCACAAGGACGAAAAACGGGGATAGACGGACAGTAGATGGCTAAGGTAAAGTAGGGATGGTGAAAGTGTAATGGACTGATAAACAAAAGAAAAAAAACTAACTGTGCAATGATTTCGATGGAGAGGAAAGAAATGATGAGAGATTGGTGAGAGAGAGAGAGAGAGAGAGAGAGAGAGAGAGAGAGAGAGAGAGAGAGAGAGAGAGAGAGAGAGAGAGAGAGAGAGAGAGAGAGAGAGGGAGGGAGGGAGGGATGGGGGGAGAGAGAGCGCGCAAGCCAGACAGACTCAGACAGACAGAGAGAACACAGCCTTTGCTACTGATGTTGATGAAGCCTTTGAACGGGCATGACATAGGGCCCCAACAGCTAAATTACAAACTGGTCTTCGAAGGGAAACTACTAACACACGCATAGAACTACCGTAACAAGTAGTGCCAGAGGATGCTGGCAACATATATAACCACGAATGTATCACGCCACAATGAAGTATTTTTATCTGGAAGGTTTACAACAACAACAAAAAAAATCTGTATCATATGGTTGTCCAATTCTTCTATTTCTTCTGCCTATTCTTACTCTCATTCATATTCTTATTCTAAGCCAAGGTATACAAAAGAACCACACCAACGTGGAGAAAATCTAAAATGATAACGTAAGCAAAATTGAAACTACATTCACTGATTTCCGAATTCATCTGCAGAAGGCAACCGATGCCGAGGAAACGACGAAAATGTATCGCGATAAAAATCTTCACGAGCCTCCAGCGACGAACATGAATAACTTAGCTGCAGGATTGATCTAACGTGAATAACTTAGCTGCGGGATGATCTAACATGAATAATTTAGCTGCATCATTGATTTAACGTGAATAACTTAGTTGCGCGGTGATTTAACAAGAATAACTTAGCTGTGGGGTGATCTAACGTGAATAACTTAGCTGTGCGATTGATCTAACATGAATAACTTAGCTGGGCGGTGATCTAACAAGAATAACTTAGCTGTGCGATTGATCTAACGTGAATAAATCAGCTGCGGAATTGATCTAACAAGAATGACTTAATTGCGCGGTGATCTAACAAGAATAACCTAGCGGTGGGATTGTCTAACATGAATAACTTATCTGCACGATTGATCTGACATGAATAACTTAGCTGCGCGGTGATCTAAGAAGAATAACTTACCTGCGGGATTGATCTAACAAGAATAACTTAGCTGAGCGATGACCTAACATGAATAACTTAGCTGTGTTGTGATCTAACACGAATAACTTAGCTGCGTAGTGACCTGACATGAACATGTCCGATGGTATATGACGTCATATTGACAAGGGAAATACGAGGTGAAAACGAAGCTCCCAAGCTGACCCCTTTTCAAGATGAACGCAAGGCAAGCTGAAATTGTAAAAAGAGGCCACATTATTGGGACGAGGAAAATTACCCAGAGAGCTGGATACCTCCCGGTCGATGGTCGATGGCACCCTTAAATAAGACCCTCGTTCCGGATGCCCCTTCACCAAGGCAACTAAAATTCATATAAAGACATACAGATCCCGGTAATAAGCTGCCCGGTGAAGAAAAACGACTGCATGGAAAAGGGGTTCATCACAGAATTTCATCAAAGAGGTTGAACAAACGGCATTGCCAACGTCTCCTCCATTTCGCCCAACAGTATGTGAAGAGTGAACAGGAAGCTCTGTTGTTGGATGAGAGATAACAGGTGTTAATATCAGCATCGGTTTTCTGTTTGTTCATAAAGTAATTTAGTTCCATTTTTTCTATATAGATGTGTTTATGCATAATAGAGCCTTATAGCCTACATCATGTTTCATGGTCTGATTCTCTTATCATTATATATCAAACGGCATATCTATGAAACGGCGAGGAATGGCCACATGACCCGTAATATATGGGGGTGGAACTTGTGTAGTTTCCAAAAATAGATACAGATACAATTATTAGTTACTTATATCGTACCAGTCACACTCTTTGGTATAAATAATCAAGGTTTTTTCACCTTATTTATTAAAATACTATTGACGATATGTTTACTTGGAAGAGGTTGCCAGATGTACAAATAATGGGACCCGGCAAGTGACCTGAATTATAATTCTGGCTAGTCTCTTGAAAATCCACAGTACTATTAATGTAGTTGTATTTTGATTCATATGAAATTATATCGAAATACGGATTTATAAAATAGTCTTTTGCTCAAATATCTGATGTGCTCTACACCATTATGTACGCTTTATTTCGAAATGATTGCTACTTCCATAGTTTGTTTACAGTACTACTTGTGTTTCCGAATTATTTCCTGATATTCCCGGGCGAGAACGATCTCTTTTCTGAAATTGTTACGACCTCGCGGATGACAACAAATTCAGTGAAATGCAATAAGCGATTTTATTTATTTTATTTATTTATTTATTTTTTTTTAACACAAAGCATTTGATCTTCGCTTTGGAATATTCACTGTGAATGCGGGCACCAACCAGCTGCCAAAGAACTCACAGGTAAATGTCTGGCTGTTCCTATTGTCGAGTTCTATGCTGGTAGGCGGGCCATAACAAATGACCAAGGGCTACCAGCATCGTATCTAAGTAAGACAGATCCAACATTTGCAAATCCGTGCGCGTGCACTTGTGCATTCATGCTAACACGCACATGCAAACACGTACGGTGTGTGCATGTGTGTGTGTGAATGCACACACGCACACGCGCGGATTACTATTACTATTATTATTATTATTATTATTATTATTACTATTATCATTATTATTACTATTATTATTATTATTTTTACTATTATTATTATTATTATTATTAATGAGGATGATACTGTTACATTTGTTGTTTTCCATAATTTTTCTATGCGCCGGAAAATCACACTCGTCAAAGAACGAGAAAACATTGAAATAGATTTTTTTTCCCGTGTGTCGTTCAAAAGGCAAGACCTGCTTCGGATATTGCTATTCGTAAATGAAAAATATTTTGCCTCGAAAAATAATAAGTCGGAACCCTCGAAATTCGTCATTTGTTTTGCTGATGAAAAGTTTTTTTTTCGGCCAGGGTGCGTAATATCTTGTAGATTAATAAAAAAAAAATGAATACTTATATATATATATATATATATATATATATATATATATATATATATGTATGTATGTATACGTACATATAGATAGATCGATAGATAAATAGATT